GGTCAACAGCTAGAAAATTGCACCTTAGAGCGTATCTGGAAAGAATTGAAGGTATCCTGTAACTTTGCGGGTGCTCGTGAAGAAGTTGAGCAGTTCAACCTTCATAATAGGTGGAAAAAACGTGGAGTCGCAATTGTCCCTACAAAATTTGGAGTTGCTTTTACTGCAAAGTTTATGAATCAGGTAGTTTTCCATGTCCATTGTTCTGTCACTTTCTGAAATAGCGGAAAGGTATTCGTACATGAAAGGGAGGAAAAAACTTACAGTTAACATATAATATCTATTTCTCTATTTCTTTTGGATTTAAAAAATATATTGTTTGTTATTTTTCATGATTTGATAGGTTTTGTCTGTTGACTCATATCAGTCCTGACATTTGACTATGATTTGTCAACTGGTTTTTCCGGTTTATAGGCAGGCGCACTAGTTCAAGTGTACACAGATGGAACTGTATTAGTCACACATGGGGGTGTTGAGATGGGGCAAGGTTTGCATACGAAAGTGGCTCAGATTGCTGCATCCTGCTTCAACATTCCACTCAACTCTGTATTTATATCCGAGACGAGTACTGATAAGGTGCAATAATAATTTGGTTTTTTTTTTTTCTTATATTTTAAATAAATGTTTTTAATCTCTGTCATCTTGAAAGAAGAAAAGGAAATGTTATTATAATGGGAGGAAGATGAAATTTCAAAAGGCAAACATCTTGTTTTTCAGATTTATTGAGTGTTATTCTGATCCTCCTGTGTTAAAACCACGCACGATAATTTGGAAGTATGATTTCATAGTTTAGTATGATTTAAACTTTATTGTTCTCTTCATTAGTGCATGGCTACAAGCTCTTAAAAGAATTGTATATACTCAGGCTAGTCTATATTCCATGAAAACAAAGTACTGCTGGTTATTGAATGACTACAATCATTTTGAAAATTCAGAAATTGTTGGAAAAACTTTGTTTACTTGGAGATTTAGGTCCTTAAATAATACACTATTTATGTTAGAAGTTATGTTTGTTCTACATCGAATAGTTACTAGGCTGTCATTGTGTATTAGTGTGGGTTGGGCACCCTTTCCTTTTGAGCTAGCTTTTGGGGATGAGTTTTACCTAGGGTGAGCATGGGTCGGTACAGTTCGGAGATTGATAAATCTCCAGAACCGTACCGAAATTCAGAGATCACTAAAATTCGATCTCCGGAACCGTTTCGGAGATTTTTATTTTTGGTTCAGATATTCGAAGATTTCTAATTATTTTTTTAATATTTTTGAATGACCACCTAAATGTATTTTATTTTTTATATGTTTTATTTTAAATCAAACATTCATCAATACTTCAACATACTAAAGATTTTATTTTTAAATCAACTTTAAAATAACTCTAAATTTTAGTTAAGACTTAATTTGTGCTACTAACAGTGAAAACAAAATATAATATAGTTTTTCAACGATAAAAAAAATAAATATATAGTATAGTTTTTCATTACAGTAATATTTCTGTAACCTTCCATACCATGTTAGTTATAAGATAGAATAAGACTAAGTATCGACAAATTTAAGTAATGTTTAAATATTTTTTTTAAAAAATATTTCTTTAACCTTTCATTCCATTTTATTTTTATTTTTTAAACAAGAAAATTTAATTGTAGATCAAGTATTACTAAGCATGAAATTCAAGTGAAATTAACTGGTATTACTATATTCTATTTGCATTTTAAAAATTCTCAAATTATATAGGATCAAAGTTGACGTAAAATTTATTAATAACACACATCAGTTTTTATAATTCAGTTCTTCGGTTCGGTACGGTATGAGACGGTTCGGTTCGAGGTACGGATATTTGTGAAATCTCCAGAAAATACCAATTATTTTTTCGGTTCGGTTCGGTTCGGAGAAAGTCAAACAGTTAACTGTTATTTTTCAGTTCGGAGTGATTTCGGTTCGGTTTTCGGAACGGTTCTGAATTCTCAGAGTCCCATTTATTAATGTAATTTGGATTCTGCTGCCCACATTGTTACATAAATCATTTTCAGATTCTAGCTCTATTCTCATCATAGTTGTTAGTGGATTATATTAACTTTTAATCTCAGAAAAGAAATAACTTTGTTCTATACCTGTTGGAATGTCTTACGATGTTGCTAGATTTTATGCCTGTTTCGGTACTAAATTCTCTTTAAAGAAATGCTTTGGATTTGTAAAAAAATCTAAACCTAATTTCCATGATTAAAGTAGTTGATGCAATTTCTATTAAGCTAGCTACTGGCACTCTTATGGACCCAATCACGTGTGATTTATCGACACACGCCCCCCATACCATTTGTAGCTTCATAAGGAGCACAATATTGGTTCTTGTTCTATAACAAGACCAAATTGATGTTAGCGAACAATATGATGTTCATACCTTGTAAAATATCATTTATGCTCGACAGTGAAATCCTGTATATGCTTCGACAGAGTGCTACTAAGTATCACATGATGAGGCAATTAACCGTTATTGCTCATATCCATGCTTAACATTATTTCCTTCTTAAGTACTTTTATCGTTCATTGTAAGTCTGGAATACACATGATCTTATTTCTAACTGGTGCCTGCATATATTATTGTCTTTACACCTAACTAGGTTCCGAATGCATCGCCTACAGCGGCTTCTGCAAGTTCTGATTATTACGGGGCTGCAGTTTTGGATGCATGCCAGCAAATTAAAGCAAGGATGGAGCCTTTGGCTTCTACCCGTAATTTTGGTTCTTTTGCTGAGGTAATAATATAATTGCTATTGGTTCCAGGTATTAGCAAAGCCAGATTAATTAAATGCTGGGGACATATCTCCTTTTCATTTTTAAGTTTTAGTTATGTAACTACTAACTACCAAGTGGAGCAGTTATGTCCAAAAACCTCGTTTCATTATTTACTGTTTCCCAAAATGCCTTAACACCTGGAGATGTCTGGAAAATACATAAGCAAAATTGATATTTTCATTGATGAGCAAAATTATAATCAAACATCTAGAAGTTAAAAGGATTAAAACTGCTAACCTGTGAGTTGTAGGACTAAAATTGCTATTTTAACCTGGATTTTGGACATCGATAGGTTGAATGTTACACTCCATTTTGGCCATAAATATATGTTAAATTTTTGGATGTGCGTAAATTGTTATATCAAGAGTTTAGTCATTTGCAAGTTTCAAATTACGATCAATTAGTTTAGATATTTGCAAGTTTTAAATTATGTAAACATTTATTGAATAATTGTGTATATAAAGTTTATTATTCAAATTTCTAAGTACTATATAATATTTACAAGTATTATAAATAACTAGCGGTACAATCGGCTGAACCACTTTTGAAACTCTAGCTTTACCGGTTTGTTGAGTGGTCCGGTTTTGAGAACCTTGATGCCAATTGTATGACAAAGAGTTGTGAAGATACGGTAGGGTATAATCTTGACGAATGTGCACATAGATAATAAGTAGAGGCATGGTATTTTCCCGTCATAGAAAATCTACATGTTCATTTTGAAACATTTATTTCATTTGACTTGTCATATTGAGATTTGTTTGAGATAATAAGTGTGAGTTTGATGGTTTGAAATATTAGCTTGCTATGGCCTGCTATATGGAGCGAATAGACCTTTCGGCTCACGGGTTTTATAAGACGCCAGATATTGGGTTCGACTGGACAATTGGTGTAGGGGCCCCTTTCAGGTACTTCACTTATGGGGCTGCTTTTGCCGAAGTGGAAATCGACACGTTGACCGGGGACTTCCACACGAGGCGTGCTGATATGATTTTGGATCTTGGCTTCTCTCTAAATCCCGCAATTGATGTTGGACAGGTTTGCATCTTATTGTTCTCTTCTCATCAATGTTTGCTATCCATTTTAAAAGCGTTCATGATACGATTTATTATTTCTCATTTCTTGCTAATGATTTGTTTTATAAAACATTATACGGTCATCCAAATGCAGATTGAAGGGGCATTTGTGCAAGGTCTCGGATGGGTGGCTCTTGAAGAGCTAAAATGGGGCGACACAGCTCACAAGTGGGTACCGCCGGGCTGTTTGTATACTTGTGGGCCCGGTGCCTACAAAATTCCATCCATTAATGATGTCCCTTTCAAATTCAATGTCTCCCTCTTGAAGGTAAGAATTTTAAAACCTCTTTTTTATTTTTTTATTTTTTATTTTTTATTTTATTTTTTATTTTTTTCCATAGCTTCATCAAGGATAGCAAAAGAAAATGCTGATACTCAATTTTTTTTCATCTTTCAATTCATGTGTGCACCCTGCATTATGCCATTTTGCTTCATTTTGTCCGTGAAGAACATATTTCATCGAGACCAATAACATCATTATACTATTTGACAAGCAAAAATATCGACGTGCTTGTTTTTTTTCACAGGATGCTCCAAATGACAAGGCAATCCACTCGTCCAAAGCAGTTGGCGAGCCTCCATTTTTTCTAGCATCTTCTGTTTTCTTTGCCATCAAAGATGCCATCATAGCTGCCCGGGCCGAGTCGGGCCTCAAGGATTGGTTCCCTCTGGACAACCCAGCCACTCCCGAACGTATAAGGATGGCCTGTATAGATGACTTCACAAAACCCTTTGTTGATTCCGATTGTTTTCGCCCGAACCTTAGCGTGTAGTAGTACCGTTGTGGATTCACAATCGACCACAAAAAAGCCCGAAATAATGAGAAAGAGAAAATAATACCAAGTTTCTGAAGGGAATCAGATGATAAATGGTCGTTGTAATATTTATTGTACATACTTTGAAACTGTATGGTTTACAATCATGCAAGTAACATGTATAAGAGGTGGTGAACATTTTGCTGCTTGTTATATTCTTGGCTTCATATTTTTATTCAGTCGCTTCCTAAATTTGTTCCTTAAAAATGCATTAGAATCTTGAAATGAAGAAGCATCGTAAATTCGTGAAATCACAAGGAAAAAAAAAAAAAGTTTGGATATGATTTTTCACAGTTTGAGATGAAATCACTTTCCTCCTCTTTCATGCCGTTACACTGTTAGGCACTCCCCTGCTTGTGGTCCCGCTTCCCGAGCTCGGCATTAGCAGCTCGAACGGATAAACCCCTGGCCCGCACCTGTTCTTGAGCCCCGGGTCCGAATTCCTCCTCTCGATCTCCCGCTCGATTCTCTCCACATCCGATGTGAACTTCTCAAACGCCTCCAAAATTCCCGGCTCGCCGCACCAGCTCGCTAGATCCTTCCTCTGCCCGATGTACTCTTCCTCGGGCGAATGGCCCGACCCGGTATCGAGCACGGCTGCGTACTTTGCTTCTTGAGTCAAACTTGGCACGGCCGACAAAAAGTACTCCCGTGGGTCGGATAAAAAATCGGGATCCGAATCCGATGGGAGCAGCTTCCGCATGAAGGGGGGTCGGGCAGGGGTGTACGCCCCGTATGAGTACTGCCCGAAGTTGACCACTGCGTGTTGCCCGGTTACCGTCCAAATGACAGTCGTGAGGATCCTGACGAGGTCGTCCTGCGTGGCGAGCCGGGGCCACCAGGTGGCGACTCGGAGGTCCGCGTGGCCGGAGTCCACCGACTCACGGTACCAAGCCTGCAGCTCGGTGTCTATCAGGATGTGGCTCGGCTCCGGGTAATAGTGGCCCACGTACTTGGTTACGAGGGTCTCGATTGCGGACCAGATGAGGAGGCTGTCCTGGGCGTACGGGTAGTCATCGATTGCGAGTTTGATTCTGTGAGGACTCTCCGGGTCCCGCACGGCCATTCCTCTGCGTGAAAAAGTAGGACATTTTTAGCGTATTATCCCATGCACGTGAACCGCACCATAAGAGGGTGAACCAGGTGCGCCTTAGTGGGGTTCCATCCCAAAACCAATCGGTGATGGGAAGGGATGTGGGACAACTTACAAGTGATATTCTAAATAAAAGGGTAGGTGGCTACTACTAACCTTCGTATGAGATCATCTGGAAGACCTTCGAGGTCGAACCTCCACCAGTCTTTATAGGCATAGCCGCTAAACTGCATGCAGTATTTTGCGGGAGAATTGAAGGACTCGATAATTGCCCCGGCATTGATGAGCACATCTCGACTAAATGCATTCGTCTTCATTAAATAACGCATGTGGGGATGAAGAAGCTTGAAGACCGGATGCATGACGCTCATGTTCCGGTGAGCCGCTATGAAGAACGGCTCCATACACGCGTGTATTCTCAACCTGCAGTTAGTAAACAGATTAAACAAAGCTTGTCATTCTCGGATTTAATTAATTTGGAAACTTATGAGCATACCAGTGGTTGATCAGTGTGTGGACAGCAGAATCATTGGAGCAGACATGCTCTTTTGCTAGTTGCCAAAGCCAGTAATCACTCGTGCCAATATCGATAGGAGGTGTTAGGACCTGCTTTGACGAGGCTTTTTCTCCTGTTAACGGAAGGCTCAACTCGATTGCTATGGGTTTCAGAGTTTGAAAGGAGGTCAAGAAGAAGACGGTTCTTGTGGCATACGTTTTACGACTCTCGATCGCGTTTATGCTGTCCACAACCGGGAGGTATATGTCGTGGTAGTCCAATATGAACATCTTGCCTTCACCCACTGCCTTCAATGCAAAAAATATTATTTTTCTGTTTTCGGGCATTACATTGAAATTATTCGCTTACGCGAGGTATTGGACTCTATGCCATACCTGTTGCACAGTCATTCCTTCTAGATATCCTAGTATGTGTTCTTCCTTGAGTCCCGATTCTTGTGGACCGTAGATCGACGGGTCGAGTTTGCTCACTGGAGGAAACACCTGAGGCACAATTTTGCATAAAGCA